GGGGGTTTGGGAGCTATGATACAGGTGACAAAACATTCTGATCAAGACTGACCTTAATGGAAGCTCCTGTATTGTCCCACAAAGTGCAGTTTGCATTCCTGGGATTTGTACCCAGAACCAGCTGGTTTTCCCCTTATTTCAGTGTGTGTCTTTAGGAGCCTGTGGATACATTTCACACAAATCAAGATTATGCTCACAATCAGTGTTGTCACCATACCAAAATCATGACTTCGATACGATACCTGCCTAAAATACTCCAATGCCAGTGCAGGAGCAAAACTACTGCAAGAACCTAAAACATCATGAAAATGAATGGATGAGGAACACGGAACTTAAAATTGGAGCTAGATAAGATTTTACCAACTCTGAGCTACTAGTTAAGTTCTCCCCAAACGAGCTTGATGGGCCGAATGGCCCCCTCTCGTTTGTAAATTTCTTATGTTCTTATTTTCTGAATTAACATTTTGGCAATATCAGTCAACTTAATAAAATATTGTGTATTTTGTCACAGGTGCACAGTTATACTGAATGTGTTTTAACAAAACTAAAATTCAGTTGCAGCTAATGAGCTATACAGCCATTAAACATGTTTTTAATACATTTAATAACACTGATAATTGAATTGTAGCAAATAATTAGATTAAGGTCGTGTTGATAAAGCTTATGTGGTGTGCAGTATTACCCCTATATTTGAGATTATGTGAATTCTTTTACGGTTCTTTAAATTTGCATATCACATCACTTAATAACCAGCAATACACCACCTTTGCACAGGTCTACACTCAAGATTTACACCAATGTACTGCATGCCATCATTACCTTAATGTCGAATTAAACAGGGTACCACAGCCCTTTAAATTCTTCAGATAAGTCAGGATGGATGTGGGTGAGATGTTTTGCGAAGTTCGACATATTGGTTCCCGCAATCTGCATTGATTTAAAAAATCTTTTGCGCACAAGCTCTGCAGCGTCCGTGCGCTTGTTCTATTTTGCTTCATACGTCCGCTTTGTCAACAAGCTGTGGATGGTTGGCACTTGTACTTGCAGTTATGGCTGTCCTGTAATGGTGACACTTGTGAACGAGTCATTCCTGAGGACAAATCCCTTACAGGAACTATACACTCACCGTTCACTACTCTGCAAATATTTTTCGTTCTTTTTCGTTCTTAAATATGAGGTGAAAGCTGCCTCCCTCCTTGACTATGGCCAGTAAGAGCCAGTGAGGCATGTAAGAGCACAATGTAAGCAAACTTATGATTGGCTGGTAAATAAACCTGAAACTGAGCATATGCACCTACAGTGAATGAACAACCGAGTTGGTGAGTGACTGAAATACTACTGGTGTAGCGTATAGCCTACATGTGCAGGAACTTCCAACATTCCAACAAATCATTTTAACCAAGGTCTATTCATGTTTAGACTCGTTAGCTGACTATGTAATGAGCTGTTAGGTTCGCAGTTTTAACAAACATGAGTAGCTAAGGTACAATGTTGAGGATCTTGGAATATAATTCAATAACAAATATTATTTTTCTTGCATGACTTATTGGTAGTAATTAGCGTGCCGCTTAACACTATTTAGCATGTATCGGATGCGTTTCAGATCTATTTTATGCAAACAGGAAGTGCTGCTGAACGAGCTGGTGAATGAATCTGAACAAATCTGTTAGATGAGCTGAATGAAACGAACCGTGCCCCAAAAAAGTCATTTGGCCCGTCAGCGCTCTCCTGTCTGTGAAAGCTGCAGGGTGAGAGAGAAAACGGCCGGCTTGCGGGGAGAGGGAGAGAAAGCAGAGCACTGCTGAGTTGCTGGTGCACGGCGACGCAACGCGTAGGGAATAATCTTAAAGTACCGATACTAATAAAATGGATAATGGTGTTGTTTTTAACAATGGGGTATTGCGGTGTTTTTTCTGTATTGGTATACTGTGCAACACTATTCAGGATTACATTTATTTCACCCGAACTTACAGTACACCATTAGGTGATATTATTCTCAGGTCCTGTTCAGTTGTGTAATATTAGTTTAGTTTAATATAATGCACTTCAAATGTATCGTGGCAGTTTAAAAAAAATATATATATATCCCCATTTGTCTGTCTTTGTGTTGTTTCCCAGTATTCTCTGGGGAGCAAAAACACACTGCAAAGACATGTTGGGCCCAGTCCAGCATCGAGATTGGGGGTGGGGGGGGAGGAAGAATGTCCTGGGGAGTGGGGGCAGGGGGTGGTGGTGATGAAGAGCAAGTCTCCCAAGGGTGGTGGAGCGAATGTCCCGGGGGCTGGGGGGGTGGGGAAGTGATCCAGGGCCGCTCCACATTCAGCATGAGATTGGCTATGGTGACACCCCAACCTTAACTCCATAGAGAATGGAGCAGTTGGTCAGTGTAGGGTGGGGACATCCCCCCCCCCCCCCCCCCCCCCCCCCCGAAGGCTGCCCTTTGCTGGGGGGGAGGGGGGTTTTAGGAACTGTTCTCCAGACCTTGAGACTGCTGGCAGAGGGCCTGTTCTGCATCCTCTCTGAATTAAATGGTAGACAGCCAGTGAAGGACAACATGGCTGTGTGTCTGTGGACTTAGCTAAGCACTCTGGCACAATGCTGAGATCTGGCTCATTTTCATAGTAGCCCTGGGTATGTTCCACCAGCTAATTGATCATATGGGAGGAAAATAATGATGATGTCTTGTGTGACAAAGCTGCGCGGCCCAATCAGTCTGCCGCTCAACATGACTGACAGGCTGGGAAGGTGGGAGGCTCCGCCCCCTCAGACAGCACAGACTGGTAATCCTGTATGTAGTGCAGGTGGTCCCTAGTGGACCGATAACTGAATGTATTCAGTGTACGAACAGCTGACATACTTGGAAATATTGCCTGCACTGATTAGTTTTATTTCAAATTCCCCGACTAACAATTTGATACATGTACCTTTGTCAGCAACTAAAATGAACCAGAATCTGCAGTTCTCTAGCCATAAAATATGAGATTAATTCAAATAAACTCGTCTCACAAGTAGACTTCACACTTTACATGCGAGAGCGGTTTTGGAGCCGTGTCTCGACTGCTTAATGAGCTGTAAGATCCGGAAGGTTCTCCCGGCTCCCTTTGTTTGTCTAATCTCTTTGCTTGTCGAGTCATTTATCTCCCTTTAAACAAACGAGCGGTTATGTGAGGACCAGCATCAGACCTCGTTTTCTGGGGGTCGCTTGTGATATGGGTAGCTTTTGGCTGAAGTCTGTGGTGTGTTTGCTTGGGTACGGCCTGTCCTGTGGTCCCAGGGGACCTTTTCACCATTTCACACTTCCTCCTTGGCTAGCAGAACAGCTGCAGACCACTCCTATAGAGTGCAGACCATTCCTCATAGACGCTGGCCCAGAGCGGTACCCATGCATTAATGATCTGAACCCAGTTAGTGTGTTAGCCCAGAATATTTAATCTGCCTTCCTAATGACTGTTTTCTAACTGCTCAATCCAGCGAAACTGAGAACTATTTCTGTAAAAGCATCCACACTTTCCTGGTCATCAGTCATCACAACTAATTTTATATGAAGCCTAGGGCCTTGCTGTTGAATAGTGGGTCTCGTTACTGTCTTCTGACCGGGCGTCCCTCTGTATCTGCAGACATCTGGAGCCTGGGCGTGATCCTCTTCATGCTGGTGTGCGGCCAGCCGCCCTTCCAGGAGGCCAACGACAGCGAGACCCTCACCATGATCATGGACTGCAAGTACACTGTTCCCGCTCACATCTCCCTGGACTGCAAGGAGTGAGTCACCATCCCCTCTGTGTGCTCACCCTGACACGTGCGTTCGCGGAAACTGGCACGTGTGCCGGCAGGATATCATCTGAGGCTCATCCCATGTACGTGCCAGTATGTGCCAGGGAGTGGGTACACACACACGGTGTTGTATACTCCCCCCCCGAGCAGGGCTTTGCCGTGAGGAGGCTACGCTCTGTTCACCCTCTGCCTCCCCTGCACGCCTTCCGCCCTCAGTCTCCATCGGGGAGTTTTTCCCCTCAAAGCTCTGTAGCTACATTTCCCAACACCATTGAAGTGTCGCCACTGTCTGACGTTACTCTTCATTCAGGCCAAACAATGATCGGCCTTTCAGCACCGTCTGTGCTCAGACGTCCTTTGAGATGTCGAGACAATTGGCGGAAATGCCGACAGACCCGGGCCGCATCCGAACTTTGTACTCTTCCCTCGTCTTTGTTTCTAGAGGAGACAGTGATGATCCGGCTACTGATTGGCTGGACTTCAAAAAGGGCTGTTACCGATTGGCTGGACTTCAGAAAAGCACTGCATGCTTTAACTGTGATGTATTTTTGAGAAACGAGTTTCCACGGCTCCACCGGTGAATCCTGAATGCCGGTTTATCTGACGCCTCCTGCTTCAATGGGGATGCTTTGCTCCTCAGCTGATGATCAGAAGGGGCTGAATGTCTCCATCAGCATATGAAGGATGGAAATGGGATTTTTGTTTTCCAGCATAAAATCAGATCGTTCGCTTGGCGAAAGGCCCAGTTAATTCTGAAGTAGAGGCCAATGTCAAGGTGAGCTGGATCATCAATAAATAACCAGTTAAGTAGTTTTTTTGCTCCATAAATTCACTCTGAATGAGTTGAGAAGTAGTAGCCACTGTTCGCACCACCGGTCAAATGTAAACGTCCTTCACGTTGTAGGCTCAGAAACTCAGAGGTCAGTTAATGTCAATTAATATCAATCAATATCATGACTGTGTCTGTTTTGCCGGCGTCTCTCTTGTACATGAGATCTCCTTGCTGTGTTGATCAGCTTCTTTCCTGCAGTCCTAAAGCATGGTTTCCTAAAAGCTGTTGCTTCAGAGCGTCATATAGCTGTTAACCCCCAATGACTGAGCTCAATCATATCTATTCTGTTTTTTTCTGACTCTGGAGATACATACAGAACTTTATCCCATGTGGCTTCCTGTAGTCTGGGTGCTCATACTTCCAAGGTTGCCTGCAGGTCTAGAATAGTGCATGTGAGATGTATGGAAATGCATGGATGTATGGTTGTGTGTATGGAAAGTTGGGCAGCGGGACTCGGAGTTGTGTACATTGATGGGGTCCCACTCCTGAGGAGGTCGGTGGAGCTAAATTCACCAGTAGCCCCCCACCTCCCACTGAGTGAGTTGTACTGCATGGAATCATCAGTCAGAAATGCAACTGATGGTGTGTCTTGACTGTTTGACCATTTGCTCAAGTCTGGGATTCCTGACTCGTCTTGTTTATGGATAATTTCCAGAAAGGCCTCTCAGCTGTTTTTCTTCTCAGTGTGGTCCTCACCTGAGGCCAAATCCCAGGCTCACATCTTCAGCCTCTTTCTATGGACTTCCTTATTTCCACCCCCGCCTTCACCATTTGTCCTTGGGGTCCTCCTAAGGTCTCATTCTTCGCCGTGGTCGAAGGTGCAAACTTCACTGCTGAGTTAGAAGCTTTTGTTTCCACATAGATTCCTGCTGACTCTCTGGAGAAACGGAGCTCCAGACCTCCGTCAGAGGCTTCCGAACATCAGGCCGGATAAGGCTTACCTTTCCGCCTGGACCCTCTTCCTGTTTGCGAGCCGGCAGGAGGGCAAAGGCGTTTCCTGGCGGCGCTCTGTCATTTTGTCACTCTGTGCTTGAGCGATTGTCCCCGCAGGGCCAGGAGTTTGCTCGTCCTCCCGAGTGCTTGGCACCGAGGTTCCTCCACGGATATTCCTCAGGAGCCCTCGGTCCTGGGTGGCTGGACGTTACGCCACGCGACGGCAGCCTGCCAGGCCGGCACTTCGGTGCGGAAAGGGCTCACTGTCCGTGCGCTCGGATGGGAGTGAGTACCTGCAGTGTAGGACTGTTGCTGTGCCCAACTCATTTACTGAGCGTTACAGTGTGGATTCCTACTTGTCACCCTCCTTTCATTGGAACAAAACAGAAATTAAACAGTTGCTATTTCAGTAGGTGCCATAGCACCGAACTGTAGTGCCTGTTTGGTTTTTCCTGTGGCACCGCTTGGCCACATTTTTGGAGATGCTTTGGCGAGGATGTGGATCATGCCTCTTCAGGTCGCTTTCGAGAGCGGCCGTGAAGGACCATGTCCTTGTAGCCCGTACAACTTTCTGGTGTGATGTGATAGATTCCCAAGCAAGTGAGGTGTTAAGTTTTGCAGTTGTGACATACAGACACCGTTTAACCCATATTAGAACATGACCTCCCTCAGATGGGTCACTCGCTGTTTTATAATGCAAGATTCTGCTCTGAAAATGCAACCGACTCGTGTTAAAATTGCTCAGAATATGTAGTGTCCTCAGCTCCTTGCCTTCTGTCTCAATATGGCAGAGAAGATGATTCTGGAAAACAGCCACCGAGTCCTGCGTGGGCTTAAAATCAATGTCAGGTTTGCATGAAACGTCAGCGTGCGTCTGCTACAGTACTGGAAATGGCACGTGACCTCCAGGTGACCTCTGCCCCCCCCCCGAGAGCAGTGACTCATTTCATGTTTAAAAGAAGCCCTCGGAGAATCCGCGTTGCTCGCATGCCTCTCCTCGGTCCCCCTTTGCGAGCTGCTGACGCACTCCTGAGTAAACAACCTCGTCATCATGGCTCAAAGCGATTGCGTGGGATTGATTTGTCATGTGCAACCCAAAAAGAGGATAGATGTATAGATAGATAGATACACAGATAAACCCTGAGAGGATGTTTTTCTAGTGTTATATGAATTGCAACTCTTTCCTCTATATGTCAGTCTGTGCCGGCTACCCCTGTGGCTCAGGCACATCGGGTAGACATGCTGGGACTATCAGCACAATGTGTTAAACTGACCGCTGTGTGCAAAAGCCAGTGAAGGTCTCTGTTTCCACAGAAGTTGTTTTTACTTGGGGAAATTATCAAATAAAAGGGCTCAGTGGTCATTTCTATGTCATGTTCAAGGCTACTACAGCATGTCTAGATCATTCGGGGAGGGGGGATACAGTTTGGCTGTAGAGCTCTGGGTCAGTGAGCTCTGGTCTGGGATGTTCTCCAGCTCGGGGGGGGGGGACTGTGAGGGTCGTCTGATTCATTACTTGTCTGGATCAAAACCTAGTAGATACTGTGGAGTTTTCACGGCTGCTGTTGAACAGACTTGGGCTGACGGATGTGGAGAAATGTGCTATAAATATCCCCCAGATGCATGAACCGGACCAGAAGGAAGAGGAATTTCATCCGCTCCAGGATAAGACATGATTCGAGTGATAAAGCTTCTTTTGTTTTTTCTAGGGACTGTATCCACGGCAATTTTAAATGTCCCGAAACCATATCTGCAAAAGACATGATGCACAAAATCCTTGCTTGGAACATTTTCAGGTCTTTCATCAATCTGGATGTACTGCCCTGTTTATACAATTATTTTGTCTTAAACCTCTCCCTGTACAGAGGCTGTTGGTGGTTAAAATTAACTGGAAAACCAGTAAATATACCAACCTCCCCAGGAACAGCAATTCGTCTCAGCTCTGTCTCCCAGAGCTGGTCTTTTTCTGATTAGACTTCAGCACGGTTAAAGCACGGCAACATTTTGCATGTGCCTCGCCGCTAAGCACCGAGTCCTCGCCTTTGTTGCATGGCAACGCTTGTTACGTCATGTGAATAGTCACCATATTTCTGTCGCAGGCAGCATAAACAAAGCTTGTTGCTATTTGTTTTGTAGGAGACGTCTCTGTGGCACCTGGGTGAGGTGCAGTGTAGAAATGCGATGAGATCGATAGTGAGGCTACAGACAGTACCTCCAGTTGCGAAATGCACAGCATTGCTCTCCATGAAGCTGTCCTTACAGGCTACAGATAATAGGATTCTGAGCCCCGAAAAATAGTACCCTGTATAAAAAAAAAAAAAACCTGTCGTGCCAAGAGAAAATGAACAAGATGTTTTTATGGATACCAGTGGCCATTTTGGTTCTAAGATGAAATGGCAGGCTAAGTTAATGGCTCTGGTTCTGCTGGATTTGGAGTAGATGCTGATTATAGAGGTTTAGGATATGATGAACTCATCCACCAGTCACTTGTTCAAGTAGAGTTGCAGAGATGTAGAATTTCACCCACGGAGTGTAAGGTTGGGGGCACCCTTGATTTGTTGTTGGGTTTGGGTTTACCTTTCTTTACCTGGAAGTGTGTGACTGCACACCTTCACTAAAGTGGCCAGCTGGGTTTTTATTGAAGCAGTGGGAGTGGGGGGGTGCTCCTCCGGTTGGACGAGCAGGGCTGAGCTCATCGCCGACTTCCTTCTCGCTTCTTCCAGCCTCATCAACCGCATGTTACAGCGGGACCCCAAGCGACGGGCCTCTCTAGATGAGATCGAGCGGCACGCCTGGCTCCGGGGCGTGGATCCTTCGCCGGCCACCAAGTATAGCGCCCCGCTTGTGTCCCACAAGAGTCTGTCTGAGGAGGAACACAACGGCATCATCCAGCGCATGGTGCTGGGAGACATCGCCGACCGCGAGGCGATTACCGAGTAAGAGACCAACATGGAACTGTGCTTATCCAAGGAAATTGGTGTTTATTGCTTCGCATTAGTTCGTCTTACATCTCTGAACTGTGACTCCTACTTCACTAATGCCCCATGGCATCCCTCCCTTTGGCATGGGCTGGCTTGATGTAGGCCAGAAGAGAAAAGGCTCTGAAACAAGGGGTGGACAATCTTATCCGCAAAGGGCCTCTGTATATGGAGGGTGTTTGGGATAACCTTTAGTGCAGCTCTGTCGCACACAGGTGTGAGGACTCTTCAGGCAATCAGTTCTCTAATTAGTAATCTAATTGCAGAAAAAACCCACACACACAATGGCCCTTTCTGGATAAGATTGCCCAACCCTTGTGCTAGACGATGGGCCAATATGCCAGCAGCCTGACAACATAGCATTAAATGTCTCACAGAAGCAGTCTGAGATCATAGGAAGAAATTCATCAAATTCATCAAATCAAACGCTGGTAGCTAAATCAACCCACTTGCTTGTCTCGAGTTATGGCCGACCTCTTAGTGCTGCCGCACTCCCACTCTGCTATCAGTTTTTCAGTGAATAATTGTATCGGGCAGAATAATCCTGCTTGCTCCCAAGCTCCTGACTCAATCTAGCCCTGGGGCCCGGACAGTCTAATAAATACTCGCAGCAGATGAATCAGAGTAGAATATGTTCATTGCTCGAGGTGGGGGCGGGGGCACAAATAAGCAACCCCTCATTCTGAAGGCAATCTGACAGTGGAGGAGTCTGTCCATGGTCTCCCATGGATAATTCATCTCTAAAGGTTCACCGGCAAGGCGAAGGTGAAGATTCTCCTCCAACCTCACGCTCTTTGCCCTCATAATCGCACTCCTCGTCTGTTTCAGAGCACTGGAGACCAACAAGTACAATCACATCACTGCCACGTACTTCCTCCTGGCAGAGAGGATCCTGAGGGAGAAGCAGGAGAAGGAGATGCAGAACCGCTCCTCCAGCCCAAGCAACATCAAAGCCCAGTTCAGGTATGACAGTGTCGTAGGAAAAGCCAGCTGATCCTAGGTGCAGTTTCAGTATGCAGGACCAGCCCACCAACAAATCAGGCCTACCTTGGCAAAGAGATGTAGCATCATTGAGGGTTACTTAAGAATTACAGTAACACCCTGGTGGGGGGGGGGGGTCTGCTGTGTCTGTTGCCAAGAGTTTGGTTCAAGTTCCCACGTAGAGGACAGCTCATTCAGCATTTGGTTTAAAAGGTTCCTTTTCAAACACCATTCAATCTAACAGCATGTTACACCAGCCTGTGTCACTGTGCTACTGTCTAATATTTCGTGGTTCCACTTTTGCAGGCAGTCCTGGCCCACGAAAATCGACATGCACCAGGACATTGATGACAGCCTGGCTGGGCCGTCTATCTCCCATCCTGGGGGACCACAGTCACCGGCCCGGAGCACAGAGAACCTGCTGAACGGCCATCGCAGTAAGGGGCTACTGGACTTGGGCCGGCGCGAGGAGCCAACCGAGCCCTTGGCGCTGCCAGTCGCCAGACCTACCGCCGGACCTTCTGCCAGACCCACCCCCAGCCCGCCCAAACCCCTCGGCACCACGCCTCCGACGGTACCGGCAGCCCCCTGCAAGCCACGTACTTGCCTGTGTAGGGTAGAGGAAGATGAAGAGGAGGAAGAGGAGCAGGAGCCCTTGCCCCTACCAACCCAGGTGGTGCTGCGGCGCAAACCCCCCAATGTCCCCAACCGGCTGAGCTCACGCAAGAGCGCCCCAGTGCTAAAACAGATCTTTGAGGAGGGCGAGTCTGACGATGACTTCGACATGGAGGAGGGCCTGCCACCCAAGCTGAGCCGGCTGAAGATGAGCATGGCATCGCCGGGAACGGCACACAAGCGCTTCCCCCGCCGAAAGAGCCAGGGCCGCGGCTCCAGCTGCTCCAGTTCGGAGACCAGTGACGACGACTCGGAGAGCCACCGGCGCCGCCTGGACAAGGACCCGGGCCTCACCTATGGGTGGAACCGTCGAGACAGCAGTGAAGGTCCACCTGGGAACCCGGGGGGCAATGGGGCTGGCCCAAGTGGGCCCCCTACAGAAGGGGGCAACGCTGGGCCCGACAGGGGCAGCCCCCCCACGGAGGGAGAGGGAGGAAGTGGGGGTGGTGGAGGAGACGGAGGTAACAGAGGGCAAGGCAACCCCACCAACTGCTCCAGCCACACTGCAGCGGGCTCCGCCCCCGGCTCGGTGAAGACCGCCGGGGGTCTGGTGGAGAGCCTGAAACTCATGAGCCTCTGCCTCAGCTCGCAGTTCCGCCATCTGGCTAACGGAGGCGGTAGCGGGAATGGGGGGAAGTTCATCATAGATCCACGTGGAATCCCCGGCATGAAGACGCAGGAGAGGTCTCCATGGAGGATGTGCGTCAGCGGCTCCAGCGGGAGCCTGGACCGCGTCTCGCTGCTTGGGGGCGCCGCCTCTGGCGCGCGGGCTGACCCATCGCCCGCTCACGCCCGTGCTGAACCAGGCCCTGCCCGAGAGAATAGCATGAACCTGAAAAACAAGGTGCTACAGCTACCTCTCAGCGACAAGACCATCTCTGTGAACATCCAGCGTAACCCAGAGGAGGGGCTGCTGTGCACGTCCGGCCAGGCCAGCTGCTGCCAGGTCATATGACGGCCGGCGGGAGCCAGCCACACCAGTAGCAAACTCCATACTTGACCAGTTCCCTTCCTCTAGTAGCTGTGACCTTCCTCCATGCACACCACTACCTAAACACAATCTGTTTTTTTCTTCCCTCCCCAGTGTCATCTTGTCTTAACGAAACACAGGTGCACACTACTTAGTCTTTGTGTTTTCTTTTTTTTTTTTAACTTTCATCTTAATGTCCGCCCATTCCTGTATCCCGGCCTCCTTTTTGGGTTTCGAGGAGGCCGCGTTTGAATCCCGAACAGAGCGAGTTTGAGGGAGTGTTCTGAGGTGTGTGGCTTGGTGGCAGACAGACAGAGCAATAAGTGTTTGGGGCAGGTCGTTTTGGCGGGGGGGGGGGGGGGGGGGCAGAGAAAACAGGATTTCCAAGCCTCATTGGTTAGTCTTAAACACCACAACCAATCAAAAGGAGAGAGCAAAGTGGTGTATTTATATCATAAAGAAGCTGTATTTTTTCCCCCTTATTTTAACAGTGAATAAGATTGAAGAGCTGTTAATTTATATTGCACAGAGACAATCTTTTGATTCTTTTAAACTTTTCTGGAGATTAAAAGTTTGTTTTTAATTGTTCTTCACTTGCACTGAATCACTTAACTGTACACCTTCGTCACACTAACCCCGCATATCATGCTCAGTGTTGCATTATTTTGGGCATTTTCATTTCCAGGCATCTCCCGGAAGTGCCCCCCCGGTGGTCCTTGCAGTCGGCGATGTGGGGTACACCGCCATCTGCAGGTCGTCAGTCGCACTTTCAGGTCTTGGCCTCCCCTGGGTTAATGTGACCCGGGGCTCTGCAGTTCATTAGACGACCTCTGGGGTCAGGACGGGCTGCGTAGGTGTGCGTAAAATGAACGTCACAAAGCCAGCAGGCGGGCAGCCTGAAGCTGAAGCTGTGCAGACAAGCTTCAGTCATGCCACAAAGTCAAAATATAACTTTTTTTTTTTTTTTTTTTTACAGTAACTCAAATGTTAAATTATTCATCGGGTTCATTTTAATAGACAACTAAACCATATTAGAATAATGTTTAATAAAAAAAAAAATCATCTATAAATCATGCATCATAATTTCAGTATTTTTTTAAAAAGCTTATTTATTATAATCTTAGTTTTTTGGGTTTTTGATTCCAGCAAATTGGTTGCACATTTTATATAATATATGTAGATGTAAATTTTTTTTTTTTGGATACTAAGGTATTCACTATAAAGTGTCACGTGTACATATTTCTAAATTTTATGTTTTTTTTTTATTTATGTATATTATTATACATAGAGGATTTTGTGTTAAGTAGCTGTGGAGTGTCCAGGGCCTCACTGCCCATGGCCCCCTGAACACCCCCACTCAGAGCTCTGCTGTGTTCAGGCCTCTGCGAGCCGCGACGGTCACTGCTATCGGTCGTTAGCCTTAGCGAACTGGATGGAAGGAGCGTAATCGGGATGGGGGGTTCAAAGGGCGTTGGCAATAAGCTAATTGTTGCAGCTACATGTAAATTAATATATTTTTATTTTTAAAACATGTACAGCCTTGGACAGGTGATGATGACCCCTGTGTGTGTGAGAGCGTGCGTGTGCGAACATGGTGCAATCCCTGTGGAGCAGTGTTGGCCTCTCGATGACTAGCTGTCCGATTATACCCTTTTATTAGATATTTATCGCGAAAGAGAAGTACCAGATACCAGTCATGTGGGTCTGACGTGCCCTGGTGAACGACGTGCATGTGTTGTACATTTTAAAAAAAGGGGAAAAAAAATGGATAATAGCGACTACAGCAGAAGAAATTGTACAGGTCAAGTTTGTCACCTGGCGTTAAGGGAAAGTGGAAATTAGAAATATTTAATGGAAAAATCTAATTCTGTACTGAGAATCTGTTTCAGAAGTTGAATATAACCATGGTAATATCCAGAATTAAATGTTGTGAGAAAACAATCATTGCTTTGTGCTTGTGTGTCCTTTTCCAGTGGATTTGGTTTCTACAGTTTTATTTTGAGGTTAAACTGTATTGCACCTGCTCTGTTCCTGTCATTACCACATTCTCTGTATCATAGCTTAAAAACCCAACCAGAGGAAAAGGCTATTTGGCTTGGGTCTTGGGGGCAGTAAACAGACCCCCTCTTGCTATGAGATTTGCAATCTAGTTTGGGAGTGATGGCCCTCCTTTAGGTGTCCGTCACACTCTATGTATTCTGTTCGATGCAACTGGATACTGTTTTTCCACGTCTTGTTTTATTAACCAGTAAACTACCCTTCAGTTTTAGGCCAAGATTGGATGGTTAACCCTTCCTAGAATTCTGGGGAAAAATGCCACATGACAAATCCACTGTCTTACTGTTGTGGGTGGGTGCTGGGAGGAGGCTGGTGACAATAATGTTCTTAGTTATTCTTATGCCGAGGAGCTCATTGTCAGTCCTCAGAGACTGTCACTACCTCCGGTACTGTCATCCCACCCCTGCCCCATGACAGACTGCTACTTAAGCCTGCAGTGTCCCCTTGTCATGTGACCTGTTATAGGACATGATGCTAATTATGAAAAATGATGGAAAAACTAATTGTTACAGTGATGTGTAGCTCAGTAGCTTCGGACACTGTGCCGGTTGCCGGTTTGAATCCCAGGGTCGACAGTGATTTCACCGTAGAGCCCCTGAGCAAGACCCTAACTCCCAATTGCACCATGCACTTGGTGATCCTGTTTCCTCAAATGTGTGCTGCTTTCGAGAAAAAGGGTTTGCAGAATCGATAAATAAAATGTTGGGAGACCTGCAACCAAATGCTTGCCAGTCTTTGTCACAAATCTTGCACGCTGTATTTTAGGGAATCTGGAGAAGCGTGCTCCTCTCAGGGCTGCGGTGGACGGCTCCCCCCGAGGGGCCGAAGCCGACGAGGGGTCGACTTCAGCAGATGCCTAAATAAGGAATCTGCTGTCACACGGCTTTTCGAGTGGAGCGCCGCGCGTCAGGGTCCGTGTCTGCTTTGTGTCGAGCGTGGTCGGCAGACGTTCGCGTTACTATGGCGAATAATGAGATTCTGAGCTGTCTTGAGACCGTGAAGGATTCTGTGGATGGGCGTACGGCCGTGCACAGAAGAAAAAGAACCACCGTGTCGGCTTCAGGTCTTCATCCCTTTGATACGGCCCGTTCCCGATGCCCGTCGACCCCGCTGTCTTCTCGGCCGCCCGCTCTCCAGGCAAGGCTCCGTGGACCGTGGCGTTACGCTTGGCGTGCTTTCACAGTGAACCGGTGATGGTGTGATAGCCTGAGGGGCCCCGGGAAGAATCAGAGAATGAGACTAATCCGCAGGGTGCGGGATCTCTCTCAGACATCATAGCAGAAGAAGAAAAGGCAAAATCACATCAGTACAGGTGACCAGGAGGATTGATGCAGTTTAACATTTTATTGAGCAGAATTCAAAGGCACCCTCTTTCATTCAACACCAGGAGCAGGCTGGCAGCAGTGTGGAGCCGCCGTTTCCCTTCTTCCCGATTAACACTGCAGCATCTCACCTGCTTGCTTTGGGTCTGAGTTCAGCATTTTCAGCCCCAGCTGAACAAAGGGGTTTGGCGCGTCAGTCGAGTTTGTTCTTTTCCCGGGAGCTTCACGGAAATCGATTTCTACCAGCGAGGGGTAATCAAACCAGCACCCTGCTCCCATCTAACTACTGGCTACTTTAAAGATAGCCCCAAATTAAACCATCAAATGCATCTTTTCCGTCAAGCTGCCAGTTTGATCTGTTAGTAGACGACCGCTAAGCATTTTTACAACCCAGAAAGAGCATTTGCCGTTATTATCTCTGTTTGCACACAAAATGCTGACCAAGGCAGATTCACTGTTGTAGACTGTTCACATGCGCGTCTTGGGGTACTGATCTGCAGCAGGACAGTAAGAAATGGGGACTACATGCCACATGGGGTCCCAACAGTCCCCGAGTCAGTGTCACACACTCTCTGGTGTCCCTGGATATTTGGACGACTCCTGGCCTGCAATTCCTGAGCAAAGTGCCAAGATCCCTCCGGACAGTATGAGCACCGACCTTCCGACGGGAACTGGAGCGTGACAACGCAGGGTGTGTGCAGCAGGGGGCGTAACAGTCAGTGACCTGCGCTCATAACCACAATGATTCCCAGCAGAGGAGCTGCGGTGGTATTTAGCCCATTTGCATCACGCAATTAACAGAAATGCAGGTAAATAAATAACGAAAGGGAGGTCATGCAATATTGGCTTGGCCGTGAACACCAGTCTGTAGTGAAGCAAGGGCTTCGTTTAAAGCGTGTCAGTCACAGCTCAACGGAAACCGACCATAATAATCTAACAAAGCTCCCCAGGACATCCTGTTCAGTAGAACTGACATTGATTCTCACCCTGATGGCTTCCGCTAGCTGTGACTGCTTCAAAAAGAGAGACAAAGTGTACAGTTTAACGGCACTGGGTCCGACGGTATCCCAGCATGGGGAGTCAGCTTGTAAATGCCGCTGGCTTCCCTGGGACGGCGCCTCAGCTGCCCGCGTCCGCCGTGTCGCCGGGATGCGTCGTCACTGGCCTTTGATCGGTGTCGCTGGTGCTTCCAGCATTTTCTGCCAAAAGATGAAACATTTGTGAAGCGTTCTGATGTTTTCCTCCTATCACAGTGTCGATGTCTCCCACACATTCCCAGCACTTACATATCCCTTATATCCTCTTTTACAGTACAGTGCAATCCTTAATCTAGGAGTCCCTGCTTGTGCTTCATTTTTATGGTGACCAAAAGAGCTGAATAATGCAGCAGTGCTTCTGTCTTGACTGACAGGGATACAGGGACACAGGTTGCCATATTGACCAATTACATGACTTTTTAAAAAAATAAAAATAAAAAAACTCCCCAAAGAGCCTAGGAAGCATGAATTCAGAGCTCCAGACTGTTGAAATGCTTGAAGATGTCTGTCTGCGCCCTCAGCTGAGTGATGTGAGTGGGGGGTGTGTGTGTGTGTGTGTGTGTGCGGGGCACAGCAGAGCCAGCAGCCTGGGGATGGCTTCACTGAGCATGTGTGTGCAGTGCTCTGCTGGGAGATTGTTGTCAGTGAGTGTAAGTCAGAGAGAGAATGAGACCGGATTCACCCTGTGTAAGTCTGTCTATGGCAGGGAAACTCTCTAGTGAAGCCATTCAACTTCAAGGGGTTTTTGTGTCCTCAGCTGAGACTTTTCAGTGTGAGCAGTTACCCCGAGAGGCTGTCTGTGCTGTGACCTTATCTGTTCCCAGCCTTTCTGGCAGAGCAGAGTCTGTACATGAGACCCAGTGGCAACGACATGGAAACTGGGAAACAGTTAAATGGAGGCTGCTGTGCGCATTACAGATATACCTGTACTGCTGCAGTATAGTATTTTATATATGAGTTTAGTATACCTCAGTACTGTACATGTACTAGTTTAGTATGCTTTTTTTCTATACTCAGTGCTGTACTCTACTGACTCAATACTAGTTTAGTAAATATTAATACTGTAACTGTACTAGTTCTCTGTGACGTATGTACATTACATATTCCTAGCAAAACGCTGCATTCCTGAGCATCTCCTACAACCGTGCCCCCCCCCCCCACACTCCAGTCCCCCAGCTGTGATGCACACACCCTGAGAAAAGTGGAAAACTCTGGCTATGTCGTAACATAACATGAAAACTCTGGCTATAACAGACTGGCTATGTCGTGATAACATGAAAACAAGACCTTGGCATGTCTTAACGGCAGAGTACATGTTCTGATGTGCCGGTGTGTCGCACGGCAGACCTCGGGCAGAATAGAGAGTCGTGTACTTCTCTTAAATGGGTCTCCGTGACATGGACGGGGGCTGTGACCTGGTAAATATTCAACTGTGAACTTTTGAAGCCCCTCTTGGAAGAAAGGACTGGGTTTGCAGGCAAGCACATGCCCGGGACAGGCGTCTGCTGCAGGAAAACAGCCAAAACAGCCTCCAGGGAACAGCTGCAAGAAATGCTCCAGCCAGGAAGCCCGTTCTGGATGGAGACGGGACAATGAGCACAGCATGTGGCCACCAGATCCTCCAGAGGAAGTTCATAGGAGCTACCAGCCTCGGCCGGCCACGACCTTTGAGGAGGAGGCCATGACCACTGGCCACTGTGTCCCAAGGAATGTGTCCTGTGGCCTGTA